GAGCCCGATGCGGGGCTCGATCCCAGGACCCTGGGATCATGACCTGAGCCGAAGGCAGACGCTTAACGACTGAGCCACCCAGGCGCCCCCAATTAAGAGATTCTTATCAAACATGTCCAAATTCTAGTAGTTTGTAAACATAAAAAAGAGGGGTTGCTATATCATCAATTCCCTAAAGAGAAACTCTTGATCAAATAAACTACATGTGGGTAGAATCCTTGACTTTTTTGTATCCCCAGCAAGTAAGGTGAAAAAGACGGGTCAGCAAACTTTTTCTGTAAAAAGCTGGATAATAAATATTTTAGGCTTTGTAAAATTTAACTGTCTCTGTTGCATATGCTTCCCCCCCACCCAGCTTCTTAAAAATTTAAGAACCTTTCTTAACTCAGGGCCATACAAAAAATTACCAAAAGGCTGGATGTGGCCCATTGGATAACACATGACCCCTAGTGTAACATACCAGGATTAAATTGTTTCTGGATGATTCCACCAACAGAACAGGAGATTCTAGGAAGAGCACAGGTATGGCTTTGTCTGACCAGGAGAGCAGAGGAGAGGATAGAGGGCTCATCTAAAAATATTATTCTTTCTCATCCCACTACCTAAGTTGGAAAAGGTAGCATATTCTCCAAAATCCTTTTTAAAAATAAGATCTCAACTTTTGACATGAAGCATGATCATTTTATGAGCCATCCAACTTATTCAGAATGCATTTATATAAGTCTTATAAGTTAAAATAGAACACTTAGAAAATATTTTATATAATTCTGATTATAAAACACCCACCCAAAAATATTTCCCCCAAAACCCCATCTTAAAATTGCCACAGCACCACTCAGGAGCATACTCTTTCCCTGAAGAAACTCTCTGAAGAATAATATGGAATAACTGACCTCATTCCTTCCTGATCAACGCCTAACTCTCAAATAGAAAACCTGGCACGAATATGAACTCAGCTCATGCTGGATTAAACAGTGAGTTTAAGAACTATCTCAGCCCTAAGGCTAGTAGATATAAGAAATTATGTTAGCTTAATTATAGAATATCTACAAGTTTTTGTCCCCATCTTTAGATGAAAACGCAAGGTTAGATCTTGGCATTTCCTTCTTCAAGTTGTCCACTCAAGTCCGTAGATCTTGCATTCTGTCATTCTTACTGCAGCAGCGACAAGAGGACCCGAAGGCTTGCCTGGAGTGCAGCATAGTCAGAGTAATTAAGGGTCACAGTTTCATTAGCTCTTCAAGGCTGCATCCCATGGACCCACACTCCAGTTCTTGAATAATAATACAATTTCCGTTGCCTTCAATACCAACTGAAATGAAATGAATTTTTCTACTCACTAGCTATGCATTCTTGGGCAAGCTGTTTAAGTTTTATGTGCCCATTTCCTTATCAAACTGCTAGAAATCATGTCTTTGGGGCAGGGAGGGGGAACCTTAAAAGCATCCAGGGAAAAACAACACAATACATACAAAGGAATGACAATTCAAATGGCAGCTCACTTTTCCTTAGAAACAACGGAGGTCAGGTGACAATGCAAGATTTTTCCAGTGCTGTAAAAAAACTCAAACTGAAACCTGAAATTCTTTATCCAGTGAAAATATTCTTCAAAAAAGAAAACAAAGACATTTTTAGACGAACAAGAGCTGAAAGAATTTGCTGCCAGAAGACATACACTATATAAAATGCTAAAAAAAGTTTTTCTGCCTAAAGGGAAATGACCATAGATGGTAACCTGAATCTACACAAAAGAATAAAGAGCTCTGGAAATAGGAAATATGTGAGTAAGTATAAAAGAGTACGTATTTTTTCATCTCTTACTTTCTTTAAAAGACATATGACTGTTTAAAGCAAAA